CACAGAATGAGCTGACCATCGAATTCAGGCTCATGTAGCACGCGGGCCTTGAGTTTGCAACGTTGACAAATTGGCACCACTCCTCAGCTGAACGGAGCCTTGGGCTCTCGGAGATGCTCTCGTCTAGGTAGTTGCTAAGCTAATGCACATCGACTTCAGCACACACAGCCAGATGTGATTTGAATTGATGCTAAGGTATGCCTGCCCTTCGACGCTTTGGCAGGGACGTGCGGGAGGATGGAAAGAGCAAACACGCCACCGTGAATACGAACATAGCTCACATGTTTGCTCGATATTGCTCATTGCCTGCTTGTGACCCTCCTGGCACAAATATCAGATTTTGATAATCTATTTTATTTCTGCCTTTGCACAGCAAGAGCTCGCCTCTGCAAGTGGTAATGATCCTGTTTGTGAACGGATTCGGTGGAGCTGGGTAATAGACTAGGCATGGCGGGCAGCTCGAGTTGGCGTACGCTCAATTCAAGTTGCTAGCTTCAACCGGGGGACTTGGAGCCCGCTCGTTGTCGAGCCATGATTTTTGCAGCTGCAAGTTGCATGAGTGTTTGACTGCTTCTACCCTATCGTGATATTTTGCATTCCCGAGTTCATTCCCAAAACATCGTCATATATACTTTGATTTAACAGTTCCCTCACATGTCACGGCAAGGACAATTCAACTTCGCTGGCTGGACATGCAAGGTACGGCGATTTCGGGTGGAGCTGCTGAACATGCTAACAGTCTCATCTGCCGCCATCATGTCTTGAGTTTGTGCCTGGCAAATGCTTGTAGTAGTCTAGGTGCACTGTTTCGGTTAGGAGAACAGTTGGAAGATCACGCACATTTATTTTTTCTTCTTCTCCCTATTTGGTGGGCCCAGGAAGCGCATTGCTGTCACATCCGTTCCAGCGACCCCGACTACGAGCACTTCAAGGCTTCAGACTCCTTGGCAATGCTCCAATCGAATCAACGTTGCTTATATAATGTCGGTTCAGATGTGTATTCCAGGTGGATGAACAGGGGAATGAGTCTCACAGAAAAGTGAAGGACCCCCCTATTAAATCAGCTGGATATATGTTCATCCTGGGTTCCCTTGCCAGAAATCTCGTTCCGAACAGCTCCTTTCCCAGTGCAAGCCCCTCGCGAATGCTCTGGAGTTCTCCAGGGCGAGAACGAGGAAAGCATGTGCTCAATTATTACCTTGATTTGAGTTTGGAGTCTGGCAGCCGTATCCTAATAATGTTTTTTTGGGAGATGAGCCCCCTTTGTTTCGCAAATGCAAAGCCGTGCCGAATCAGTTGCAAGGGGCAAACACATCTTGTTTGGATGTTTAGAGGCTCTATCATGTGGGTGCCTTCAGAAGTTTTTCTGATCTTTGCAACAATTCTGATCCAGATGCGAAGCACTTCCCTAAAACTGACCAGGCACCTCGTAAGTGGACGTCTGCAACGGGGCTTGATAATTTTCCGGATTGGCCTTGAGGGTATATACCCCAGATGAATACCGCCCCTCCTTGGCACCTTTGGCTGCCCTTCTGCCTAATTTCGTGCCTTCATGTTGGTTGTGAAAGACGGAACACCTGGACCCGGGCTGTTGCAACACCCCCCCCCCCCGCAATGGGTTGGTCGGCAACCGGGCCAGGCTGACCCAAGCAGCCAGGTGCCTGGCTGGGAGGCGCAAGAGATGGTGGAAGAATCTGGGGGTTGCTCAAAAAGTCCTTTACATGGGATGACTGTTGGGGAAACTAACTAAGAAGATGACATCTCCTACATGGTCATTTCGGGTGCGGGAATATGGATCAACCCCCAATTGGCTGTGTTTGGTCTTCAGTTGCTACCCCCTTATTTGGTTGGTTTTAGAGGGACACCAACCGGACAACCGAAGCCATTTTGGGGGAAGACACACCCGAAGCCGTTTTAGAAGACACACCCATTTGGCAAAGGGGAACAGTTCCGAGCCAAACTTTGTTTGTCAGATCGTGACGGTTGCCAGAGCGGCGATTCGAGCTGCTGGTCGCTAAGTTCCTGGGAAGGTCTTAGATGAGCCGGGCCGGAATCATTTGTTTTTGTTTCCAGTCGGAACACAGTTGACAGCCCCAGGGCCCTAAGCACTTGCATCTGTTGAGCTTCAGGTCGTGCTTGTGTGGAGAACCACAAAGTAGCGAGACACAGCATGCCGTGAATGCCCACCGTCATATGTTTGCTGCGGGACGTGACGCACACACACACACAACACAAGTTTGACGAATACAAGAGTTAAGCCAGCTAGCTTTTGAACCCCCCGGCATTCAATCTTACCAAGCTGATGCGAGCAACAGGACCCGTGTTTGGTTTTTGACACATGTCTCAATGGTATCATCCTGGTATGACTCGAGACCGTGGACCTGGATGCCGCGCCTGCGGAGCGCTGGCGCGCGTTGGTGACGCCGGCGGCCGACCAAATCAGGCGGGAGATACATGCTGAGGAGTTTGCCGCGGTGTTGCTTGGTCCTATGTCTACAAGGAGTCCAAGTAAGTGCTGCGTACATCAGATTGCAAACCATCGGATGGCAAGTATCGCATCGGCTTGGAGTGGCTGATCGGTTTGAAGTAGGTGAATGCGGCAATGTTGCCTTTCAGGAACGACGTTGAGTATCAGTTAGCCAACCTTCCATCGCCAAAGGATCCCGGAGTTGCCAACAGGGAAGACCTGTTTGAGTTATACGCAGAGAGTTGACATTTCAGGAAGGCGAAGGCTGCTTTGAGGACGTTTTGGTATGTTTGAGCAGGCTAGATTCATGGGTTAGACGATTGACATTAGTACAGGTGGTTCGCATTTTTCCAGATGGTCTTCATCTTATAGAGCAGAAGCGAAGACAGGACAGGTTGTCACGCAGACGAAAGGACTGGAAGAATTACTGCGTGTTGCCTGCCAGGACCATGATTACTCACTTCAAGTCCGTCCTTGGCTGCTGGGCTGTATTGCTTTTGCAGTCGCTTGGTGCAGTTTCGTGCTGCGGCCGCAGCAGCAGAATGTTGGGGGGGGGGGGGGGGGCTGGATTGTACAAGCTTTTTGTGGCAAGCAACTGGCTTGGCCTTGTCACATGGGAGCGTAGCTGATGTTGTTGACAGGCTTGATTTTCAGTTCCAAGCTAGAATCTATTAGTCTATGCCTTCGCCCCGTTCAATCCCACAGGGCTGCCCGAAATACACATGTATCAAAGTCTGCGCGTAGTTGGGTATCATTTTCAATGCGTCTTTGTTTCTCCTTTGTGCTCTGCACTTGTCGATGACCGGTCAATTCGAGCACTCCAGTAGTGTCGGAGTGTCACGGTTGGACTCATTGACTTGTACCATGTAAGGGGCTGTCTCCAAAGAGCTCTTCAAGCTGATCGAGGACGCGTGTCCACGTGGGCGAATGGAACCCTTGCAGTTTGCAGATTGGCAACGCTTTTTGCCACATTGGGGGAATGCATCGGTCCTGGTGCGTCAAAAGCACGCGTCTGCCAAGAACACTTACAATCTCCTCAGGGTCTTCGTCTCAACTGCGAAGCGACTGTCAATTGCATCTGAGGGGGGGACACTATGCCTTTGGGGATGCATTCCAATGATTTGCAACAGAGCATCCTGTCAATTCCTTGTGCGGATGGAACAGGACAGCGCCAAGTTCAAGGTCATTGCAGAGCGGGTCCTCACAGAGATGGGTCCAGCGCTGAGCAGAGCAGAGCTGCAAGCCCTCCCCGCCTTGATGCCCCGCTTTCAGGCGAATATGGCGTGGAGATTCGGGGAATCGCCAATGCTACAGGCCTGGTCCGGCAGCGCAAATCAATTGTCTCGTTGGATCCGGAAGCAAGCAACGGGTTTGTTAAAATCTGCTGCGTGCTTGTTTGGAATGCAAGCCAGCAATGGCAAGGCAAGACAAGGAGGCTGAGCTGCTTCTTGCTTCTCAATGGCCTTCACAAGTCCCTGGTGATACTCTACAGTCTCTGCTTATGCTTTCGATAGCTGTATCTACGAAGGTTGATGCGCGCAGGTTTGAACATTGAACACCTTGAAAGGTCTTCTGTTTTCATTGACGGGCTGACTCCGGAACAAGTTTGCATGGCCTCCGCACATGCTTCTTGAGTTCCTTCAGAGGTTGTTGGTGTCCCGATTCATGTGCGGGTTGCAAAATGCGCAAGGCATCCCGCAGGAAGAAGTCCTATTTTACAACATGGCGCCGCTCGGCTTTCGGCTTGCAACCGAGCGCAGCTTGAAGCTGGTGCCGGGCAAGTTTGAACT